TACAGGCACACGCCACCATGCCCAGTTAATTTTTTGTATTTTTAGTAGAGACGGGGTTTCACCATGTTGACCAGGATGGTCTCGATCTCTTGACCTCGTGATCCACCTGCCTCGGCCTCCCACAGTGCTGGGATTACAGGCTTGAGCCACCGCGCCCGGCCGACTTGGTCAATCTTACACAGATTTAAGTAAAAGCGGTAGAACCAAATATTGATGCCCTGACTTCAAGCTTCAGATTTCGCCCATGATATGAAGCCAGTTATATTTGAAACATATCCATTTTCTTAAACCTGCCAAAGGGAATTGGCAAAACAACTAGTTGACAAATGACTTTGAAACATGGTACCTGATTTTAGTGCCTCTGAAATACCACTTACAGATGAAGAAATTCTTGGTATTATCATCTTCTAACACTTTGGCACTGAGAGAAATTGTAAGAAAGAGGACCACAACATGGCTTGACAGTTTCCCCTGGTTTTTAATTTAATATTGTCTTTAACAATATTAAATTTTTAATAAAGTACATGCTGTGCTGGCAACTTACAACTATGAAATATCCTGAGACTCAAATAATGATTACCAAGGGCAATTTCTTTCTTTATTGTTTGACATATGTGGGCGTGATTATATAACTTCCTCAAGACAAAATGCTGTTTTAAAGGCTTACTTAAAGAAAACAAAACTACTTTTGTTCCTAAGTTGATTATAAGTTGATTTTCGTTTAGCATATTATCCTAATTAATGCTCTGAAAGAGACATTTGACTTTCCGAATTCCCCCAGTCCTCGTTCAAGGATTTCACATTGTAGAGACAGTTGGAGAATTTTCTAACGCAGCTGGTGGAACCTGATTTCTGTTGGCCTTTAGAGAAAGCATACAGTTTTGCTTTGTTTTTTGTTTCTTTCCAACCCTTGCAAAAATAAATTCTAACATTGTACTCACTGGTGAAGGTCTGACTTTTACAAAGAGGCAAAAGTTGTTTCATTCCCTTGGTACATGAACATACACCTGTGGGATTCTCCAACCTTGAAGGCTTATGTTCCCCAATCATTGGTGGTTAAAAGACCTGTCTGGGGCCTCCTTGTTTCTGGGGTGGACCGCAAACCTAAGAGAGCTAGGCAGAAATTTAGGTGGGTCCCAGAGAAAGTATCTACAGAGTGAATTGCTTAGCTTCTACTTTATATAATGACAAGAAAATATCATTTCTTATTTCCAGTCTTCCTTAGCTTCATCTTTCTTTGTCCCTTTGTATTAGGATAGAAGCAAGTTCTTAGACGCCATGTAAATAAAGTGTGGGCCTAAGAGATAACTAATAAGATAAGACTCAGTATTTATTTGAAAGAGGTCCTTATAGGTTTGGATATCTCATAAGATTGTGATGTGCAGATAGGACTTTGGGACTTTAAAATATATGCATATATAGTAATACACAGAGTAAATTTATCTGGACTTTTTCTTTGGGCATATATCGACATGTTTTTAGTATTTTAGAATACTATCTGCCATATGCTTTTTTCTATATTAAGCATAAAATATGTATGGATTAGTAAATTAGGGACAGACACGCACAAAGGCCTGGGCTTTGTAAAGGAGGCTTACTCCTTAAGCAGTTTTCAGAGCTGCATTTAACTACGGACAAAATCCCATGCAAAATTCTTGCTCAATAAGACATTCTAGAAACCACTTAATTTTAAAAGAATATGTGTCCAGTTTTAGAGTTAAATTAGGCTTGCATGGAAGCTCAAAATGCAATGACAACCGCTCTTCTCATGTGCAAATGTATGCATTTAGAAAGGATATTGAATTTTGTATCTAAGGTAATTAGTTTTTAGTAGAAATGGGATTCTTTTCTGGAGATGCATTTGCTGTGCTGCTAGGTTGCATTATATATGAACCATAGCGCTATATCAATATATTTATAGCTATTTCAATTTTCATATTTACTGCTGGAATTGGGGAGGAGGTGATTTGCTTTTGACAATGTAGGTATTTAAAGGCTGATATTCATATTCAGAAAAACATTATTCACTATCATATTTAGGCAGACATTATTGATTCTCTGGAAGTCAGAAATAGAAGTATTGCCACTTCGAAGTATTGCCACTTCAAGGTATTTACTCTCCCTCATCTATTCCTAGGATTCTTAAAAGGTTATCTGCTGTAAAAAATTTTTCCAAAATAATTAGAATAATTCTTCTGTTAAATTTTTCTATTAGAACAATATTGCATGATCTTTCCTAAAATGTGTTTTCTTTGTTTCTGCTTTTAACCTGATTCAGCCATTGAAATCAGATCAAGAATTCAGATGTTCGAAATCCAGTCATTTATTTTCTTTTCAAACTCAAATATATGCAAATCCCTACCCGTAACACTGTAGGACTATTACCAATTCCCCTAACCACCAAATAGTCTTAATCCTCCATTTTGAGGAAGCATCAGTTCTATCCCAGCTCTGCTGCCTGTAAAAAGACAGTAGCATGAATCAGAACCAGATTCCTAAGACAGATTGATCAGGGTCAGAGATGACATTTAGGATGCCAAATTTAAGGGTAAGAATGTTGCCCATCCTGGGTCGAAACTGTTTCTTACAAAGTCAAAGCAAAACTTCAAAGGATGCCAACAGAAAAGTATTGCAGAGTTATACAGAAAGAGAGATGAGTTTTTTTAAACAGGCAAATTGAACGAGGGGACATAACTGGGCAGAGTTTGTGTTCCTTAGTTGACATTCCATGGGTATTAACCAGAATGATATTAGTTCTTTGATTCATTCACCTTTGGCAATAATGCAAGGTTAAAATGATAGTTTCAACTTGGGAAAATTTGGAGTTTGTGAGTAGGGTTATTTGTATGCACCTATGTGCCATTTGAAAGAATCTGTAAATGATTTACTTAATGACTTTTAAAGTCTGGCTTTATTTTGAAATGGCTCCTAGGTAACTGGTTGTTACAAGAGAACAGAAAGAGCAATGCCAAAGATAAACACAACGCACAAAGCAAAGACATTTTCTTCCACTTCAATAGAGCTCCTATGCCTAAATAGGGCAGGGGAGTTGTGGATGTCACAATGCCATTAACAGCAAACCCTAGTGACTTGAGTTTGTCTATATAACAAACCTGCACATGTACTCCTGAATCTAAAATGAAAGTTTAAAACATAAATAATGTTAAATTTTTTAAAAAAGAGTACACTCATGTAATCAGCAAGTTCATGAAGCTATTGCCAATTGATTTATTTTTTGTCATTTAATGACATTTGTTTATTTGAGAAGATGATTTCATTATATTACCATGTAATTAATTTATAATTAATAGCTGCAATTTTTTCAACTATCAAACGTTGAAAGGTGGGCATTATTAGTTTTATTGATGTTGAAATCCTTACATCATGTGAAACCTATAGAAAGTTGCCCAGGGCATGGTGGATTTGATTCTAAAATCTGTGCTCTTTCCCTCAGACCACACATGCGCTCTTCAAGCCCATTCCACCAGCAGAGTTCACATACAGCAATTACTTTATCAATTTAAATAGTTTAGCCAAGTCTTTTTTGGAGAATGACAGAACATTCAGTGGCCTTTTAGTAGCTTTCTAGTCCAATATCCCATCCAATGAAAGAAGAACATCTTCATATTATCTAAAATATGGTCTTTCACTTTTGATCTGAACATGTCACATAATAAGGAAGTATAGTATTTCAAAAGGATGCTATTGTATTTCATAGAAATCACATAATTTGGGTAACTATTTCCCTCTTTTCTTCATCCTGTCTTATTGGTGCTATGCAGAAAAAAAAATCAAGTCTTTCTTATACATAACCTGCAAAATATTAACCAATAGAGAAATCATTTCTTCTCTGGGCAAACTTCTTCAATATCTTAAGCTACTCCTGTGCTAGGAAACCCCTAGGAAATCTTCTATTCAAGTCATAGGCATCTCAGTCACTTGCCAAGTAACATCTTTCCTTCATCTAGAAAGTAGAAGTTTTATAAAATGTCACTAAAGTAATTTATCTAAATTAAAACTAATAAAGAAAGTAGAAACATGTAAGGTTCTGCCAAGTTCTAACATTTTGATTTCTGTCTAGATAAATTACAAACATTCTCTATTTAAAAATTATTTTTAGTCTTCAATAGAGGCCACATTTCTCAGGGTCTCAAATCAGTGAAGATGTAACTGAATAGCACTCCTGTTCATCAGAATATAAAAGAAGGGTCAAGAAACCTCAGTCCTGGGAAGAGAAAGGCCACATCCACAGACTGTGGTTCTAGATGCATCACAATGAACTGAATGCAGGAAGAAGCCTTTGCTTCCTAAATATTGGCAACAAAGAAAGCTGCCAAACATAAATCACAAAATCTTGTGTAGTAACATCTAATTATTATCTCATATTCATTTGTAGAAAATAAAAGTGACATTTAAAAATAATTATGGTTTATACACTTAAAATCTGAATTTTCTCATTGGCATATAAAAAGAACCAATTAGGTAGGGCTTGGTCTTGTGTGAAAATACTGTAAAATAGTAACTATTAAATATAATATTGAAAACTTTGTTATATGAACACAAATATCTGAACATTAACTAGTTTGTTACTTGTTTATTATTATTTCTTATTTTATTTTTGCTGAAAGAAAATCCAACTAGTTATAAACTATTAATGAGTCTTTTAGGATGTAGCTCTAAGAATTAAAAACAAAAATAAACTTTATTCCCTATGCAAAAAGAATAAAATTATGTCCTTTGCAGCAACATGGATGAAACTGGGCTATTATTCTAAATGAACTAACTCAGAAACAGAAAACCAAATATTGCATGTTCTCACTTGTAAGGGGAAGTTAAATAATAGGTATATACAGACATAAAGATGGAAATAATAGACACTAGGGACTCCGTAAGTAGGGAGGGTGGGAACAGGGTGAGGGTTGAAGATTTAACTATTGGGTACAATGTTTAATATTTGGGTGATCTGGGTGCAGTGGCTAACGCCTATAATCCAAACAGTTTGGTAGGCAAAGGTGAGAGGATTTCTTAAGTCCAGAAGTTTGAGACCAACTTGGGCAGCATAGTGGGACCCTGTCTCTACAAAAAATTTAGAAATTAGCTGGGCATGGCGGCAGGCACCTCTAGTCCCCGCTACTCAGAAGGCTAAGGTGAAAGGATCCTTGAGCCCAGGAAGTCAAGACTGCAGTAAGCCATGATCACTCCCCTGCCCTCCAACCTGGGTTAGAGTCAGACGATCTAAAAAGAAAAAAAAAAAAAAAAATCAGAGTGATGAGTACACTAGAAGTTTAATATCCACCATTATTAATATATACCCGTGTAACAGACATGTACATATACCCTCTGAATCTAAAATTATAAAAATAAAAACAAATACATTGTTTTCTTGATTCTAGAATTCCCTTTCCCTGGTGGAAAGCCTGAGGAATACATCATGATTTTCATAGAAGTACAGGGTAATGGCAAAATGGATGAATTACTTTTACTCTCAAGTAAATCCAAGAAAAAGGGAGCAATCCGAAGTAAGCATGAAGCAGAGTTAAGAGTTAAGGAAGATCCTCAGAGAAGAGTGTGATTAGGTCAGCATAAACTAGGATGAGGTCCAGATGTTGAATATCAGAGATACATTCAGTGCCCATAGAGACAAGCGTGTAGGGTGTTAATAACAATAGTTCAAAGAGGCAAGAAATCTGTCCTAGGACAAACACTGCGTGGGACAGAGCTGCTGCCAATGCTTAGGATGTGTTGCTGAGGAAACCTGGACTGTTTTGCTTCTGGGAAGCCCAGGCTGAGAGAAGATTTCTAACCTGAACTACTTCTTTGACCACTTTCATATGAATGACTCTAAAAATAACTATGTAACTATATATGTCTATGTAGTTTTATATAACTATGTGTGTAGAGACATACATATGCATTCATACATATATACAGAGGAGGGGGAGAGAGAGAGAGAGAGAGAGAGAGATGGATATCATTTGGTCACCCAGATTACATAAAACTATTATGTGAACCCCCAATCGGTCATTACTCTGTAAAAAATGGCTTTAAGAATTTTCTATGTTAGTACATTTCCTAAGTCCTATTGAAAGAATTACTAGGTGGGAATGGCCATGACCATTATGCCTTTTCTACAGGACATTAATATCATGATTACAAAGAGTGAAAACAAAATAACACAATAACAATAAAAACAGCCCTGCTTTATCTGATTATGTTACACTAAGGCTGGCATAACAACATACTGTACACCAGGTTACTTAAAACAACAAAAAATTATTGCCTTACACTTCTGGAGATAGAAGTACCAAATTAAGTATCAGCAGGGTCATGCTGTCTCTGAAACCTTGCCTCCTGCTAGCTTCTGTAGAGTATTTTGGCCATCCTTGGTGTTGTTTGGTTTGCATTTGCAACAGTTCAATATACCTGTCATCACATGGCATTCTCCTTGTGTGTCTGTCTCCAAATTTCCCTTTTCTTATAAGAACACCAATCATATTGCATTAGGGACCCATTCTACTCCAGTATGACTTCATATTCTTGAATTATGACTGATTAACCTTCAGTTACCCTATTGTCAGATAACGTAACATTCGGAGGGACAAGGGGCAAAATTTCAACATTTTTGTGGGAGGGTCCCATATTAATCAAGTCAAGCTAGATTATACTGCAATAACAAAGTCCAAAATACATGTGGTTTGCAGTAACAAAGACTTACATTCTATTCATGCTAGATGATAATGTTTTGCTTATCAGAGTCAGTCAAGAATCCAGGCTATCAAGGCAGCAATAATTCGAAAAGTTTTCAACCACTGTTCCAGAGAGAAAAAAAACACACTACCAGGTCTTATAGGTGACCATTGAGTATTTACAAGCCTAAGGGAGCCAGAGAGTGTAGGATCAGAACAACACTGATTTCAGATGCCTTCAGTTGTAAGAAACAAAAAATCCAGCTAACATTGACCTAAATGTCAAGGCCACGCTTTGTAACGTAACAAGCTATTGAGTGACTACAAGTCAAAGAGTTGACTTGTTGGCATATTGATGCCCCCAGGAACCCAGGATAGGAGGATTGTTTGGGCTGCAGTGAGCTATGATTGTGCCAGTGTGCCCCAGCCTGGGTGATGGAGCAAGACCCTGTTTCTGCTAAATTAAGCATAAATAAATAGAAAGACCCCAGGAGTCAACCTCTCTCTCTCTCTCTCTCTCTCTCTCTCTCTCTCTCTCTCGTCCCTTTCCCAGGGCTGTGTCATATGTCTAGTCCTTAACCATATCACCACTACAGGTGAAACTAGATAGCCATAATTAGTGTGGATCCATTCTATCTCTTGAGGCCAAGACCTGGCCACTCAAGCTAAATTGGATTCTGTGTACAAGGACAGGGAGAGTTAATTGGTGAATTGCTGTAGCGTAGGAATAAAATTACACCACAAAAAATGAGTTTCAGATTTAGCATTATCTTATATCTCATTCAATGTATGGATATATGGATATATGGATAAATAATTTTTCTCAAATTTTTTGGTGCATTAAAAATAAGTGAAATTTAGATGTTATCCATAGTTGGATTATTTGCTTAAGTGTGTTTAACAATTTTTAGCAAATAACAACAATAATAGTGATTTCTCCCATGTTCATAATATTTTGTTAGGTATATTCTCACATACATGTTTTGTTGTCTTTGCTTAGAAAAAAATTATCATAATGAAGGCAGGGAGAGGGAATCATCCTTTGCCTTTATTAAAAATAATAAGAAATTATATATGTGTGTGTATATATATACATATATATACACACACATATATACACACACGTATATATATGCTTACTAAGTATAGGACTGAAAATTGAACTCTCTGACTCTGAGCAGTACATTTTCAGCTATCTCCTGATGCCTCCTGCTCTTCTTGTGTTTTGCCTGTTTTTGTATTAATGCACATTCTGAAGAGTAAAACCCAAGGGACCAATTAAATAGACCATATGGCTAATCTCTGGATTTCCCTTAGGCCAAACACAACTACAATTACAAAATACTATTTTGGAAATAACTAAAATTTCAAAGAAATAAACTATCAAATATGTTTGGTGTTTCAAATGTATAGGTCAGATTAGATATCAAATGGTAATAAATGGAGATTTTAAAAATATGTCTGATTTTATAAGATTTCATTTTGAAAAGAATGCTATTTACATAAATTTGAAATCTTATATATAAATATGAATACATATTTATATCAAATGCAATTTTATAAAATCAGACATTTTTAAAATCTCTATTACGATTTGGTATCTGATCTTACCTATACATTTACATGTATATACATATAAACCTACGTATATATATGGAATTTGTGATGTGAATAGCTCCTAAGCCAGCATTATAAAAAGCTTCAGCATTTTCTTTAGAAATGCCATGGTTATCACAGTCACTCAAGGGTGACTCAATGCATTTGATTGCCCAGAATAGCAACAAAAGCAGCTCTAACTCCGATAGGATTTTATCACGCTGAAGGTTCTCAAGGCATTCTGAAAACATATTAAAAGTAAAATGTGACTCCAACTTGAAATGTTTGTAATTCATGAAAGGTTGATGAGCAGGTCTTAGTCCCGGCATCATGATCAGTGTTAAGTGCTTGCCTGTGGGGATTGTGGTATCATCGTTAGATACCCAGGACAGTCGTGTCATACAAAACAGAGACGGCACGTGTCCCTGCCTGACAGATGCTGATAAAGTGGTGACAAGAATAACAAGTAACTAAAGAGATCATTATGCCAAAATCCTCTGTCTGCGACTACACAGAATGGTATAAACATCAGCTGTAGTGTTATACAATGTCTTCCCAAACCAATAGAAACTGTCATGCCCTGCAGACAGCGATACAGCAGAATTAAAAGGCAGGGATACCAGACCACACCAAAAGAGAAAATGCGTAACTTGCAGAGTTGTTATGAGCCAATATATCGAAGCAGGATCAAAAGGACTGAGTTTTAAATGCTAAGGAAGCTGCTTAAAGTAAGGAATAGAGATACTAGCAGCTTTCAGAGTTGACAGAAAATAAGATAAAAGTGAAGAAATTCGGTGATATGCCATGAATCATACACAACTGCCCAAGATGTGTCTTCCTGGATGGCTGGCTCAGGGCCTAATTCATAACAAACACTAAATAATCATGTACTGAATGAATAAAGGTAGGCTTTAAAGAAAGTATTTTGCAGTCACAGAATTTATAATTTGTATTCTTTATTTTTTCATTGGCTTATGATTCTTCTATCTCACTGGACCATGAAGAAGAAAAGAGGTTATGTTTTAGTGGCTGTATCTCAGTACAAAGACCAGTACCTTTTAGGCAGAGCAGAGCTAGAGGGCATAGACGTCCATTGCTCCTGGGTAATCAATGAGCAATATTTACTAAAGAGAAGGGAAGAGCTGCTGGACGAAAAGGATAAGGATAGTGAGCACAGGCCCTGCCAGGTGCTCGGATGGAGCTTAGGCAGACAACAAGTGCTGGTTTACTTCTTCCACAGCTCCATGTATGGGTCACGGGGTTCACCTCATGGCCAACTAGAGGCCATGGGTGTCCTCCGCCGCCAACACTAGATGTTCCTCTTGAGATCTCTATGAGTATGGCTTTGCCATCCTGAACACTACTGATCTCTCTTCTTCTAATTTTTGCTTTCTCTTCCTCTCAATATTGGGAAAACCTTTTCTACTTTGTAGTGGTAAGATGATTCTTTTTATCTCTGCAGATTTCCTAAGTCCACAGGCATCTTAGGGCCTTTTTATGAAACTAAAGCAGGTACTCTGTATTTCTGCTTTATTACTTTTTCTCCATCTATTGGATATTTCACAATTTAGGTATTTTAAAGAGGATAGGAGAATCAAGGCAAACAGAAACTGGACATTTTGGCTTCCTTTCTCTCACAGCTTTTCTCTCTCATTTGTCGTCTTCTAAACACACTGTCCTGTGCTCATTTTCTTATATATATCTTTCCCCTTAGATGCGGTGTCTTCACACATTCTGTTCCCACCTCCTGTGCCTCTCTTCCTTCCCTCCACAAAGCTGACACTTCTCCTTCAAGTCTGAGATGCAATGTCATTTCTTTTAAAAAGTTTTTCCTGATTACACCATTAAAAGTTGGTCACATCTTCCCTAGCATTCCGATATGGTTTGGCTCTGTGTCCCCATCCAAATCTCAACTTGAATTGTAATCCTTATAATCCCCACAGGTCAAAGATGGGACCAGGTTCAGGTAACTAAATCATGAGGGTGGTATCCCCATGCTGTTCTCTTGATAATGAGTGAGTATCATGAGATCTAATGGTTTTATAACAGGCCTGGCATTTCCCCTGCTGGCACTCATTCTCTCTCCTGCCATCCTGTGAAGAGGTGCCTTCCACCATGATTTTAAGTTTCTTGATGCCTTCCCAGCATGTGAAATTGTGAGTCAATTAAACCTCTTTTCTTTGACAATTACCCAGTCTCAGGTATTTCTTCATGGCAGCATAAGAACAGACCAATACACACTCACATATTCTTTATAATAGAATTTGTTTTTCTTCTTATATAACATATATCAAAATTTGCAATCATATGAGTATGTTACTAGCTTACCATACATTTTTTTCATTACCATAAATTTCATAAGGGTAGGAACTAGGAGCTATGTTGGTTTATTTCAACATCTTATAATTTGTGCCTAGGACAAAGGGATGCTTAATAAATATTTGTCTAAGAAACATGCAACAAACACTAAGATAGGCAATATCCACTCTCTCCTTTCTGTAACCAGCAGAACCCTCGTTTTTGGAGATTCTTCTATTTGTTAAATGCCCAGTGACAGTACTTTATTCTCTCTTGTCTGAGGATAATACCACATAGTTTTGTACAACACAATTTAAGTCAAATTATACTGGAAAGGGTCAGACTCAGTGTTTTGTTTCTTGTGCATTTTATTTATTTACTTTTGTTTACTTTGTGTTGCCTGGAATGTTAGTATAATGTGTCAAAGAGAAGAAGCCATCACAAAAGCATTGGTGAAAAAGTCACATGCTGAGGATAATGGAATAGAAAGGCAGAAGTGTAACCTGGTTTCTTCTTGGATGTTGTGGGTTCTTGGCCTCCAACCTCTTAAAGAGTAACTGGTGGGGCTGCTTCAGCTGCACCCGATACTTGCAAAAGTAAAATATTGGACCCAAAAAATGTTGCAGAAAGGTGATTTTATTTAGGTAGAGAAAAGAGAAGGAAAGGAGAGAAGAGAAGGACTTCCACGAAGAGTGTGGAACGGGATTGCAGAGGGGAAATCCCAGAGGGAGCTCCCACCGTGTGGGAGGAGATTCCAGAAAGTTGGAAATCCGGGGCAGGTAAAGGAGCATGGACTTTTATCCTGGAGAAACTCCCACCTTCCCAAGTTCCTCTGGCCAATGAAAGGAGTTCCTTTAAAAGTCTGCTGGGGTGATTGACTCTTAGTTTCTTCACGCGACCCCAAAAGTCAAACATAAACCATTGAATCTCCCGGATGGAGAGAGATGGGAGGGAGGCATGGCACTGGGAAATTCTTGCCCTTAAAACTACACACCCTCACGGACCCAGAGAGAGAACACATTCCCTCAAAAGGGCTGAGTCCTTACTGGCTTCTTTAAACACTCACCCAAGGTATGGGATCTACCACTGGAGTTCTTCACCTGTGAGGAAAATCAGACTTATTTTGGTTAAGCTACTATAGTCAGGCTTCTATTAAGTGCAATCCCAATTCAAAATGTGATTTTAGGAAAGTCACTTCATATCCTAACTTACCCAGTTTCTAATTTAATCACATTGCCATTGGATAGGATGATTTCTAAGATCACCAGTTCTATCATGGTTTTACCTTTAAAATAAAAACACTGTTTATCTAAACTTTAAATTTTAATTATTCCTTTCATTTTGAAAATCAATGCGATATATGAATTTTTAAATAACTACTATGTATAAGACAATATGCCAGATGGCTTAATTAGTGATATTTCCTTTTTAAATGCACATGTTGTACATTTTCCCTATTTTATACACTTTCTCTGATTTTTTTAAAGTCTCAACACATCATTAGTTTAAATGTTTGTAATTAAGAATTCATGAGAAGACTGAAATGGACAGTTTTGAGATTTAATTGTATGGAATCAAATATTATTTTCTTCAGCAAACTATACTGAATACCGCTTTTGGAAGGACAGATATACGTAATTTAAAGCAGTGATTTCAAAATGCTGCTTTATAAACCAATGTTACACAAGCTACATGAAATCACTTGGGAGTGCTTACAATCCAATCCCAAACTCCCATGTGTGGTAAAGAATTTAACTTTGCCCAAAAAGAGCCCTTGACTTTTTGGAGGTAACATCTAAGTCTTTGGAATGTCATACAGAACGAGATCCGTTCTTTGTCTCTGAGCCTAAGAATGTGATTTAGGATGGGACTACAAACCATGCCATACATGTGATTTGGGGTGAGGACTTAGAGTCACAGGTGTTAGCTTGCTCTCCCGAGAGACTGGAAGCAGAGATCAGCTGGGCAGACAACCAACCAGGCCTAAACAATGGAGCACCAACAAAGATGCCTGACGCCAAGGTTCAGCTGAACTTCCCTGATTGACAATATCCTATGTATGTTCTCACATATCGTTGTTGGTAATAATTAATGCTGTCTATAATACCAGGGGGAGAGAACATCTGAATGCTCCCTGTTGTATCACTTCTGGTCTGTGTCCATGCATCTCTTCCCTTGGCTGATTTAATCTGTATCCTTTCTCTGTAATAAACCATAACTGTGAATAAAACAAATTTTATTGAGTTTTGTGAGTTCTTCTAGTGGATTAGCAAAACCAAGGTCATTTGGGTGATTTCCTAAACTTGTAGTTGGTGTCATAAGGGAAGGCACATTATGTGGGCCATGTTCCTAACTTTGTGGCTGTCCAACTGCTGCAGCCCAGATACCCTAATTCTGTAGGTATGGGGTGTTTACAGACATTTTGACTTGTAAACTGTATTAAGAAATCAGTTGTGCTTAGCGATTGGGAAAGAACCATTTCTATATTAACAATCTGCTCCATACATATTAACAATAAGCATTTATTTATTTAATTTCTATGTGTAATGGGCCTGTGTGTTTGTGCATATATAGGTAGTTGTGTGGATAATCACAATTAATTCTGTAATTAATCAAGGTCAATTGCATTCTTCTTAGGAAAGTATTTCTTTTGATTAAGTAAAGTTGTTGAAAGTACTTGGCTATGAAAAGATAAATGTAGTTAATGAATCGGAATTCAAATTATATTGTTTAACATCTATATATCTTAGTAAAAAGGTAGTGTTTTAGAAAGGTAAAGTGTTAAATTTAAATCACATGCAAGTGCTTTTGAAATATTTAAAAATCTTTGTTTCTTCTCCAAAAATTCTTTTACATTTCTCAAAAACTGTCTACATTATCAAAGTGCTCTTGGCACATACATTTTTCCTCATACAACCTATACAATCAAACACATGGCCCAGTCTTGTCATCCGAGCTTGCTGTCTAATTCCATCAATAAGAAAGTAAAACAGCTAGGGACCATGGCTTCAAAGATTTTTGTTACTTTAATTGTATAAATTAAATGAAATAATTTCCTTGCCTAAGAAGGGGCAAATTATTCAAACTACATTTCATGTTTGCCTATTTTCTTCCTATTCCTTATGCCACTAGGGGACACAAGAGATGATTTCAGGAAGGGGAGCAGCCAATAAACGGTGACTTTTCAAGACAGTTAAGACTCTGGGAGCTAAATCGGCCTGGAGAACTATGGAAATTAGTGTAGAACACATACTTCAGCATTATCTCAGCTAAGAAACAAGCTACGTGAGATGTTAATATGTAATTCTCATCAGTCACTATTTGGTGGATATTGCTAAGGGGCATTAATTTTGCACCTTTCTGTTGGTAGAAAAATTTCTGTGCTGGTAGGCAGAAAAATTTCTAACCTCCAGAGAAATTCCTCAAGCAAATGGCAGCTGAACCCACCATATACTACAATAGTAGGATGTGAAGAAAGAGGAATTGGCAAAAACAGCGTTTACTATATGGGTTGATACAAACTTGGCACCAGAAATAATTGTAAGAAACAGTTGCAAAAAGATGCAAGCCAAATCTAAATGAAAATCGTGCCTGAAGATAATTTTGATTATTGTAGAACTACAATGGAGATTGAATTCACTACGTTTCCATGCTTCTTATGTAAAATAAGGGCATATTTTAGCAAAGAGTGAGTTTCAAAAACAGAATAGAGACATCGGTGTGTATTCAAAGTTGGGAATCTTGAATCCATAAGCCTCTCTGAGATATTACTGCCAGCATAGCAGCTTGTACCCTCATATCTGAGAACACCCTAACTTAATGATCATGTAATAACATCATTAAAGTAAGCTGTATTGCAAAGGGATTTCTACCTTCTCAGGACCCACTCCAACCACTCTTTATTCCTTCTATTAATGGGGTGCTAGAGTAACAGGGGCTAATTGCCAGCTATGAGGCTCCAGAACAGGTGGGTTTGATTTCTTTAATAGGCTGAAAGATTGAGGATATTTTGACGTATATAGCTCTTTGCAATGCTTAATTGATCATGGTGTTCCTAAAACTATGAATTATCTACTGGGCAAAAAAGGATTAACTCAGCAGACCTCTGCTACTCAAACCCTTCACATTCCAAAGAAGGCTTATTTTAGGATTGGTCTTTGACTGGCTGTTGGGAGATAACCTCTGAGCCCTTGGAATATTCTGTCTGACAAGAGCATTTTTGTATGCCTGAAGCCTTGGATCTTGTTGTACAGATTGGAACAAATGAGTTTATTCTAACAATATGATTTATGGCGAATGCTTATGTTAGCTTTGAGGTTAATGGTGAAGTTTGAGCAGCAGAAGTCAGTTATATGTGTGCTGTATATCCATGTGACTTGCCCTCAATAAAACCCCAGAACACCAAGGCTCAGATGAGGTCCCTGGTTGGCAACTCTTTACACATGCTGTCACACATTATTACTGGGAAAACTAAGCATCCCCCGTGAGACTCCTTACCTGGAACTTGCTCTTGGTTTTTCCTAGACTTCACCCTCTCCACGGTTTCAGATTGCTCTTTATGATCTTTATCTTTTCTCTGTAACAGCTTTTGGGAATCCTGTGAATCCTTTTAAGGAAACACCACAGACAAAAGTGTATGTGATCAATATTCCTCTAAAATTTCCCAAAGGGTCATATGGCTGTTTTCCATCACGGTAGAAAGGTACATACGCAGACTGTTCATGGCTTACGAAACTGTGGCTTTGAAA